ACTTTCGAAACTTGGTTATGATGGACGACATGTCATCTAAGAAACCAACTAAAAGGTAACCAACGACCTACGTAGCAATGGGGGTCGACACTTGACGCGATAGTTACGCACATCCTTGATAGTGAGTACCTTTCCAAATTGGTCGGCGACGTACTGCCGAATCTCCGATGACGGAGCACCGTATTTCAAAAGGGCAGAACACTCCTTTATCTAATCGTTTGTCAGTCGCCGGTTGATGGGGAGCGTGTCAAAAATAAACTTGCAGCGTAGATGGTTGTGCTCCAGGTAGTAGGAAGTAGCCCTCAAGCAGTCATGGTACCGGCGAACGTGGAACCTTGCCGGACAATCAGTACGACGTGTGCTACAACGTATACACAGTCACCCATTAACTTACTAGGTGCGACGAATTCCACGGCTTCTGCTTCGTCTGCAGGGATGTCCGCTGCAACGATAGGAGGCTTTCTCATACAAAAGTAGCGAATTGCTGCTCTTTTTGGAGTCCATACGGACGGAAACAACGAATCGTTTTGTCTGCTACTCTTTCAAAGCGACTTGAAATGCACTGAATGAGAAAAAACTTTGACGAGCTAAATTCTCCACAAAATCATCCTCCGCATTCACGTGCTCAGCCATAGCAGCCATTTAAAATATGAATATCCCGGGTCCTGAATGCCATGTGGATTTAGTAGATTTAAACAACTTTCAACAAAACTGCGGCCGTTTGGGAAGATCTCATACGCCCGAAAAATTACCATGAAGTGTTAAAACTTCATGTTAAAGTTCTCCTCCTTCGAACCTCCTTCTAGCCCACGGTCTTGTATTATGTGAAATTGTGCAGGCGCGCGTTTTTGTAGCTTTTCGTAGTTAAACAAAAAACGATTATGCAATTGATGAAATACGTAGTGCTATAATGGAAATAAAATAAAGGTACAAAACGCCGTACTACTCCCTCAGTAGAGCGTTTACCATGAAACGGGAAAACGCTCGAAAAAATAAAGTAACGAATCCCAAAGTTGCTCACTTCAAGTTTCGTAATCAGCTAAATGCTGAGGGAAGAGGACGCGTCGTCCTGAACGACTAGTGGAAGGAGGAAGTTGGCGGGAGGGATATCTTGGGTTGGTGTAGGTGTTGTTGGGATAGCAGGATTGCTGGATGTGGTTGTGGGTTCTTCAATGTAGGCAGGTTTCAGACGATCAATGGAGACGGTATCATGCTTTCCGCTTCTCTCTAAAACAAATTGTTTGGAGTGACGTTCGATAACCTTGAAGGGGCCATCATAACAGGGTTGGAGGGGTATCCTCGTTGCGTCATGTCGGACAAACACAAATAGTGTAGAAGAGAGTCCGGTTGAGATGTGCTCCGTTCGCGTTGATCGTCTGGTCGGTGTCGCACGAAGTTCGGACATGTGTTGTTTTAGACGGGCGACGAATGTGACGAGTGATTCGGGCTGTGCGCCAGAAGAGGAAACCAGTTCACCGGATAGACGTATAGTTGTACTGTATACTAGTTCGGCTGGGGAAAAGTGGAGATCCTCCTTAATAGTGGGGCGAATTGCAAGCAAAATGAGGGGTAAAGAAGAGGACAGTGAAGATGGGTTCATTTGGGCAGTCAATGCAGCTTTGAGGTAGCGATGGAAACGCTCAACCAGACCGTTGGAACAGGGATGATACGCGGTAGTCGATATGTGATGGAAACCGAATAGTGTAGAAGATACACGGAAGAGATTACATCGAAATTGTGAACCGCGATCCGTAGTAACGGTGGAAGGTACACCAAAATTACTCACCCAGATTGGAGGGTTAAGGGAATTGAACAGACCTGAAATGAAGGGAAGGATAGAATGGGCAAAAAATTAAGATCAGCATTTTGAGGGTTCGCCAGCTTGGCTAGGTCCAGGTGCGTGGAAGGGTGAAGAGCCTTGATGTCAGGACGGGACAGGGCATATGCGGCGACATTGTCCGAACCCGGAGTGTAGTGGATGTCGATAGTGAGCTGTGAAATATAGTCGAGATAGCGTATCTCGCGTGGTGAATATCGATCAGGCTTGGCGTTGAAGGCATAGGTGAGTGGCTTATGGTGAGTTTGAATGGTAAATTATCTACCTTCTGGTAAGTGCCGGAAATGGCGTATAGCAAGAAAAATTGTGAGTAATTCACGACCAAAGGTAGTGCAACGCGCTTGGGCAGCCTGCATTTTATGCGGGAAAAACGCTAATGGTTGAGATGTGTTGTTAACAACTTGATGAAGTACGGCACCGACGGCAGCGTTCGAAGCATCAGTTGTCAAAATCAGCTTTGTGCTTTCGTGAGTATCGAGGAAGATAACTTTGTGGCCTGAGCAATGGCTTGCTTGGCTCTTTCGAAAGCGGCAATGGCGGCGGGGGGTAAAGTAACAGATTTTTCTTTGGAGCCGAGTAAATCGGTCGATGGCTGCAAAATATCTGCACAGTGGGGAAGAATCGCTGGTAGTAGCTGATGATACCCATGAAAAGACGAAGTTGGGTCATCATCATGGCTGAAATGCGACTGGCCAATGGGGAAACACCTTTGGCGTCAACAGTTTCGCTCACCGATGATTTGGTGGAGAGGGGAGGTAGCTGCGCATTGCACGCGCGAGCTGGTAAATTGGTGCATAAATCTAGCATTGTCAGTGGGTTGTCAAGCGCGGGGGGATGGAAAAAAAGCTGTGCATTGAAGGCAATAGCTTTGATGCCTGAGCGCCATTGAGGGCGCGACTGGAACATGTCTGATAATGTCTCTAGCCATTGATGTGGCCCGTCTCGAGGTCCCCATCCAGGAAGACGGCAGTAACCAGCGCAGCTGAGTTTGCTGGTAATGGCTTTCATACTTCGCTGCCAAGTCATTGTTTGACTGCTTCTGGGTGAGAGTGATGGGTATGGAAAAAGACTCTAGGGCCAAAATGCGATCGGCTAATGGTGAAATACCTGTGGCGTCAATGTGGTGACCAAGAAAATCCTGGCTAGTAACACCGAATAAGCATTTGTCGATGTTCAAACGTATGTTGTAAGTGGAAAAACGTTCAAACACTGCTCTGAGATGAGCTGCCACAAAGGTAACAGGTTTTTCCGCAGCCAAGCAGATCCATCAGTGGCTGTATTGGTGGATGAACCGCCGATAATACCAAAGAAGCGACGGAGTTGAGTGATAGTCGTGGGTATGAGAAAGGATTATAAGGCCACAATACGATCGAATAAGAGTAGAATACTTGTTGAATCAATGTGGTGACCGACAGAATCCAGCATTTGTCAATGTTCAAGCGTATGTAATAGGTAGAAATACGTTGAAATACTGCCCTGAGATGATTTGAACGGTCATCTGGGAGGGTGCGAAAAATTAAAACGTCATCTAGCTAAGCATAGACAAAAGAAAAGACACGAAAAACCTAGTCCATGTAACTTTTTTCGGATTTTAGGTGCATTTTGAAGAGCGATAGGCATACGCATGAATACGAAAAACCAAACGGTGTTGTATCAGATATTTTGGGATTCCATCTGGGGCTACGCGGATATGCAAGTATGCACGTACTAGGTCAGGTTTGTAGGGAAAATTTGTGNGGAAAATTTGGTGGTATAAGGTACTTGCGAAGTCGTGGATATTAGGGTGGGGTTATTAGTGCACCGTTGATGATGATGTCCATAATGCAAAGCAGAAGGTGTACGCACTAACAAAAGTTTTTTGCATGGTTGACAGTGGTGGGTTACGACACGTATAAAAATAAATACTAGTGAAATGGGAGCAAGTCGAAAAAGGATCTTATCCCACGTGAGAGTTTCTTTGTGAAAATCCGGGCGGTGGGAGCTTTTTTTCTTCGCAGTGCGACTGCTTCACGTATTCCATAACTGTCCGTGGACTTGTGGAGAGGTTGCCTTGTAGCTCTCTGCGCGCGCCCGAGTCTGTGTGAGTTGACTGTGTTCGTTTCCTTATATGTAGATCCGTTTGCGTGTACATGGGCGCGTCAGCACTTATTAGTATTTGCTACGCTCACTAGACGATGCATACAATCGATGTCCGATGAGTCAGCTTAATGTAACGTGGTTTGTGAGTACGAGGGTGGACAAACCTCATGATTCATTGGGCGATTGTGAGCTGAACAGTCAAATATGTGGGTGACTGGGTAGCTACAGGGTACCTATCTAGGATACAGGCGTTATTGATGGAACGGTAATCTCAACAAGCTTTCCAATCAACTTTGGATTTCGTGGGTACCGTACGTAGGGGTGACGACCAAGGACTCGATGAAGTGAGGATAATGCCGAGTTTGTTCACTTGTTTGTACTCCAGTTTCGCAATCTAGAGATTATCTGAATGGAGTCAACGTGGTTTCGTATGGACAGGTGGGCCCCTCGTGATGAACGGCGGAATGTATGACCGGTTAAGTGTACTGATATAGGTGAGTAAGGGTGGAAAAATTCCTGAGAATTTCAGCAAAATGGGAATCGGTTAAGGCAAGTTGGATAAATCTGGATGAAGTTGGGGCCTAAATTTCGTTGATCGATGTTAGCATATCTAGGAGGCATTTGTGTCGCACATCGATAAATAAATTCTAGTGGGTTAGGAAGTGATAAGATTATGGCCAAAAGGAAAGTCTACTTGAACGCACGTCGCGATACTAGGTCAAGTGTGAGGCAACGTTGGCCGTATGTAGTGATGTTCGTACCGGTGTAACGGTGATACTACTGATCGGGGGGAACGCGAGTAGTATGTGTTGTTCGTAGAATTTCGCTTTGCGTCGACTGAAAAAGGGAATTGTGTTGCGAAATTCGTGGAGTCACTTGGTACCATTTGCTTGGATTTGACCATCAAATGAGTGGAGTCAATGAATCTCCAGGAAAGTTCAAGAAGACTCGTTCGGGAGAAGATCGGTGTCCAGTTTTTGTAACCAAGATGCAGATTGGAGTTTTGCTTCCCTGTTCAATGGTCTGTAACCGGTCAGTTGACATTTCCGAATAAATAACTCCGCAGCGAAGGCCTTCCTTTCATTTAGTGCCGTGACCGGGATAGGGATGAAGATCCCGTGGCCGCAACCCTTTGAGGACGGGGATGTTCGGACCTTTCTGGAGGACTTTGAGGAGATGGCGGAGGCTGCCGGGCTACAGACCGACCGGGGTAAGTTGGCAGCGCTGAAGACCCTCCTGGGGGGCCGGGTGAAGGGTGGGTGCGGCCAGAAGAGGCCCTCGGAAGATGGACTGGGCCGCCCCGCAGGAAGTCCTTGCAGCGGATTTTGACACGCCGGTCGACCGCCAGGAGGCTATGAGGCAGTTCAAGGCGGCCAGGATGGTACCCGGATCTGACCCGACCGTGTTCTTCGCCGGCCTGCAGCAGTTGTTGGATCGCGCTTTGCCGACGCTGGACGGAGTGTCGCGACACCAGTTGCTATCGGATCAGTTCATCGAAGGTGTACAGCCCGCGAGTGGTACCCAGTTGCGGTTGGCACGAGCCACTGGTCAGTCGGGTATGGAGGAGCTGGTGCGTCTGTCCCGGGAGCCGCCCGAGGAACCACTGGCCACGTTGCAGTCGCAGGAGAACAGGGATGCTGCATCAGTGGAGGAACTGCAGACCAGGGTGGACCAACTCACCGAACAGCTGGTGGCTGTGAAGACGGAATCGCGGAGGCACACTCGAACCAGCCGGTGCTACATGTGTGGCAGGCCTGGCCACTGGAAGAATCAGTGTCCCCGTAACCGATCGCTTGTACACAATAAACCTTTAGAGTACTCCTCTTTTCCTGGGTGGGTCACGATTAGCGCACTGACACAAGCTACAATACAAGCAATTGTCGAGGTAGACGGGAAGAAGGAGTTATGTTTGATTGATACCGGAGCAGGCGTATCGCTGAGGCAAAGAGGGAACCAAGTTGGACACAGATCGTGCGCGCTAGCCGTGAGAGCTGTTGGCGGATATCGATTGAAGATTGACGGA